CCCCAAAACCCCAAAACCCCAAAACCCCAAAACCCCGCAATCAATAAATGCATATATGCTAAATTATTAATATCTATTTTAAATCAATTCTTCATTTTTACTTCTTTTTATCTTTTCTCTGTCTCCCAATTTGAATATACTTGAAGATACCGAATCCTTATTGTCCTTATTATAAAACCGTTTTCTCTTACTAATCAGATGATTTCTTATCCTCTTTTTACGTTTACTTGCTTAATTGAACTTATTTTTGAGAATCGAACTTAATCTTATGTTACCATTATCTAATCAATTTCTTTTTCATCACATCTTCAATTGAGTATCTATGTTAAGGGTCAATAATCAGCATTTTCTTTAAAATCTGCTTTAACTTAGGATCGTATTTTTCAGGGATGTTATCATTAATATATTCATTTACAAAATGAGGATCTTCAAGAGCTTTTATGCCAAAATCAAAGCCCAAATCCCAAACTGGTGATCCAATCATCATCTCCATTAAAATCAAACCAAGAGCCCACATATCAGATGCCTTTCCTTTTTAATGAAGTTAACCCTTTATTTATTCTGGAGAAAAGTAGCAATCAGTACCAACTGTTGAGTATTTCGCTTTTGTTTCAATAGTTTTAGCCATTACACAGAGTCCAAAGTCTCCAAGTTTAGCGGAATCATCGTTGGTTAGGAAAATATTAGGAGATTTTATATCTCTATGAATAATATCACGGGAATGTATGTATCTGACAGCCTCACATATTTCAATAAAGTATTTCATAACCTTATTCTCAGGCATTGCTACTTTTTCAATTGTGGCTTCATCACCCCATCTTTCAATTTGCTGTTTGCAATAATCTCTAACTTTATCAGTTAAATCACCGTTTTCACAATATTCCATTATTATAACATACACATACTTATTTCCTATAGCCCCCTCATTGATATGAAGAAACTCATCTTCATAAGAAACAATGTTTTTATGACTTAGTCTCCTTAATTACTTAGCCTCGTATTAAACTCTTTCAAGATCTGTGATATCTTTCATTTCTAGTTTTTTAAGAACAAATTTTTAAGGCTCTTGGGATTTATCAGGCTAACCAGTTATATTTATTGAGTTTGAGAATAATTTTGATTTTGAGATTGGTTTTTGAACAAGATATACAGCTCCAAAACCGCCTTCTCCAATGCTTTCGAGCAGAATAAACTCCTTTCTACAAAGTCTGCACTTGCAATGTTTTTGAGTTGATAAAATCCAAATATAGACAGTTCCTATTATTGTGAGTACTACAATCAAGCAAAGAGTAAGAATGTTTTATAGATTAAGGGGTATTTTGAGAACTTTTACTTATTCAACTGATTCCTGCTAGAGTGATTAAAGACTCATATTTTCAGAATCAATCTAGTCCTTGCTGTTTCTATTGTAGTAAGATTCCTAGAAATGCTTTTAGAAATCAGACTTGTTTTCTTATTTTTCTTTTCGAATGGTTTTTATTAGCTTGCTTTCACCCAGATATTAGTCCTGAATTTAATTACCACTTCGGAGTGCAGATTAACCATATTAGGCACCAGTCTAGAAAATTTTAATGAATTACTAATGTAGTTAAGGATCTTATCATTGCTAAAATTGATTAGAGTTAAAGTTTTGAGTAATTTTGGCATGATTTAAATTTGCCCGATGCTTCTAAGTCGGATTTTAGCTTTTGAAATTCAATTCTTTAAATTAGTTATTAAGTCCCTCTTACTAATCTTGAGTATTGAATTTTTATTATTCAATAACATGGTCCATATTTTTCAGATCCTTTACGCTTTCATTTTCAATGAATTCCTCTTTCTTTGTAGCTGATTTCATGCTGATTTAATCTATGAAAGAAATAATATTGGGGATATAATTACTCATGAAAATAAAAACGTTAATAATTAGCACCTTTAACTCCTTCTTTTTCATTGCTTAATATCTTATTATTTAATTATCATTATCCTGTTTCACCTAATCGTTTAATTCACTGCTAATGGGGTTTTGGGGTTTTGGGGTTTTGGGG